GCTCTTCTGAACTCTATGGGCACTAGGCATGTACACTATATACACACATACATGCAGATGAGATGCTAACATGTAAAAGAAAATAAACAAATATAAAGGGAGTGGGGGATATGAGACAAACTACAATTAACCACAGAGAGGAAAGGAACTTTAAGGTCCCACGGGCAATTTTGACAAGTCAAAGGCAGGATCTGACCATAAAGTAGAGTTTAACAATCAACACAGGGCACGGGCAAGAGATGTGGAGAGGAGACAAGAATGACCTTCAATGGTTGATTCCATGAGGAAGAGCAGGATTTGAGGTTAGAAAAGACAGCTGAAGTAGGACAACAGACAACCATGAAGAGTAGGCCAAAGATCCCGTTCTGCTAAAGGGTATTCTGAGCATGCAGGCTGCCTGGAGGGAAGACAGCATGGCCTAATTACAGCAGATCTCCTGATGGTGGCTGATAAACAGTGTCAACTGTAGCAAGACCAAATACCAATTGACAAAAGTCCAGTGGTCTGGTAACTAAATCCCTGTAGGCAGTTCCAGCCGAGTGGGAGATGCCATGAAGTCCAATTCTTTAACTCTACCCATCCTCCTCATTCTTCCCATTGTTGATATTTGAGATCTGAGGCAGTCCTCCTTGAGATAACTTTAAAAAAAAAAACTATTTATTACCAAAGAATTTTAAGATCACATCAGAAAGGAACCACATCTTCCTGAAGATGCCACCCAAGGACCCCAGGCTCCAAGGTGTAACCTTTACATAAAGGGATAGCATTTCCCTTCGAGGGAGTTGAACATTGAGAGGACCGCACATTCCATAAGTGCAGCAGCAAACTGTTTTTGGAAGAACTTTAGGTAAGAAAACATCCTATTTTACTATGTAAATATTTCCATTAGCTGTAAATCATACACTTATGTGGAAAGTAAACATTTTAACTGACTGAAATGTAAAGAAAAGATAAACCTGAGAGACTTTCAAACACAAGAATTATAAGAAACACTTTTCTAGACCATCAGTGAGTTCATTGCTTTCATTTCTCTTTTAACTTACTATTATATGTGTGTTTATGATGGGGGCGGGCATACAAGCCAGGGCACATGTGTGGAGGTCCAAGGACAACTCTTAAGGAGTCAGTTTTCTCCTTTCACCTTATGTGGACTGTAGGTATTGACCTCAGACTAGTCTGATGTTAAGCCATCCCACTGGCCCATCAAAATTCTTGAAAGGATTATGATTAAGGAGTATCCAAGTCCAAAGTCCTATTATCACTCTGTGCCACAAAAATGCGATCTGAGAATGCTGGCCTGGGTTGTAATACCAAGACTGTTTCAAGATACTGTCAAAATGAAGATATATACACCAATGGAAGAGGAAAATGTCCCAATGTGAAGGAAGAGACAGTATTAGAAAACAGCACGTGACACGGTTGGCAAAAACATTTCCCATCTTATTATTCTAATTCTCATTGCTAGTGACATCAACAGTCCTTTCCTACAGGGATAAGGAACATCTATGTCAAGCCCCCCATATGTGTATATATGTATTTATGTATGTATGTATGTATATGCATATATATATATATGATTATCTGAATACCAACTAGATATTTCTCCCTCACAAAACCTCAAGCTAAAAATGATCTTCCCAGTGAACAGAGAAAATTACTTTATTACTCAGAATCATAGCCTCTTCTAGCAATTTGCTTCAGACTATAAATGAGCTGACGCGTGAATGTAAGCTCTATGCAATGCAATGTTCCCCTCCCACAGTCCGGATGCAGCTAACAGCATATAAATGATACCCGATAATCCCTGAGCAAAAGCTAAACTGTTAACTGTGGCAAGAGCAACAGACCCAGCCTGGGCAGAGAAAAGGTCTAAGGTCATCATCTGTCATCTGGGATTTGAAGAAGGCACTGGGACTGCTTTGGGGCAGAGATGCTGTGGGATGAGCATGGTGAGGGTAAGCACAAAGAGGCAGGCCAGATGTGAGAGGCAGGGCAGGGGCTGGCAAATGCGGACACGGTTGAAACCCACCATGGTGCACTGCATGCAGGCCTTCAAGAGCCATCAATCAGTTCTGCTTCTCTTCAGCGGTGGGGGTTCTGTATTGCTGGTGGTACTGCTCTCCACCAGAGTGGTAGGGCCTGTCTCCTACAAGAATGGTTTACAGGCAGGACCGAGGACAGACAGTCCAAGGCATGTCCTAGAACAAAGATCCACCACACCAAAACATTTCCAAAGTAGAGATTTAAAACTAAAAAAGGAAATACGGCTTGTGGGGTAGGTGGTGGTTGTAAGCTGAGGCACGGTTATAGCTACCTTGGAGGATGTGAGCACAAGAACACAGGCAGCCCAACAGAAATACACACAGCCAGCCGCCCCGCTGAGAACAACGCGGAACTCATTTCCAGATGAGGGGCAGGTATGAAGCACACCGCACTGCCACCACCAGACGTAACAATTTCCCTAGTAGTACCAGCACCTACCTCAAAGGGATATTCTGAGACGGAAGAGAGTTATAGCACAGGTAGAGTCTTTAGACCAGTGCCCACACACAGAAGATCTACCTCAGGAAGTACCAGCTGCTCCAGTCGGGGTCATTGCCACTAACTAAAGCAGGGGACTGTGGTCTGCAGTACAAGGTTGAAGCAGGAATGAAAACCATTCGCAAGTACGCATCCATCACAGTGTGAGCTAAACTTCAGCGTGTGTAAGAACAGCCCGGACGCCCATGTAAGCGCGGCTCAAATCAGCCTTTTCCAAACATGTTTTCTGAATAAGCCCATGGGAGACTGGCAATGACTCTAAATACCATACCCAGAGCATGACTTCAATACCTAAGACTTAAAATAAATATTCAGGCATCAAATAAAACATTGCATTGCAAGGGTACTAGAGGAATGGTTTTATAAAAGAAATACCAGATTTTTCCTAAGGCACAGCGAGACTGGCAAAGCTAACTTAGAAGAAAACAGGATAATCAAAATCTATTTGATTGGCAAAATATAGAGTGCTCAGTTTTTAGTAACTATTTTTACATATTAAAATATTTACTTCCAAACAGCCCCACATGTCCCTGTGAGTTGCATCACTGAGAAATAAAAACATATACATGTAGATAGTAAGATACACTAGACATACATATACATAGATATTCATATATTTTCCTTAATTATGAGAGCTAATCTTTCAATCTGGTCCTCAACCACAAACAGCACAGCTAAGGCTTTAACTACAGATCTTCCACTTCAGGGTGGGGCTTCTTGGCCTGAGCACTACTGCCTATACATACTCTGGGATTGCCACATGCCACCGCTGTAGGACATACAGTGGTGTCCCTGTTCTCCTGACTATCAGAGCCCTCCTTCCTATGAGTGTGACAATCGAAACTGTCTTTGGACATCCTCAATTGCTCAATCATTCAATTGCTCAATATAGCTGAGCATCTAGGCCACAGGATTCTACCGTAATCATTTCAAAAACCATACCGCCACTGCCACCGCCATCTCCACTGCCACAATATCCCAATAACAAATCTCTTCCTCCGCCAAGACATTTTCTAAACATTTTTACCACTAGTATTTCTGCTCACAGACAGTGAACACTGAACACACATGTTTATTTATACACATCTCATGGCAATCGGGGGTTGTTTCCAACAAAGCAATTGTTTTTGATGAGAGGATAAGGCTGCTTTGAGAAGCTAACAGTAATGAGGGCAGCAATCACAGCATAACCTTGCAGAGCCCTTGACACTTCTCCTTTGCATACACCAGTCCTAGCGTAGCGTCCAGCAACAGTTCCCAGATGACTTAAGTCCACCTGTAACAGTTTATCACAAAAAAGCATTCTACTGCATCTAACAACACCCCTTTGCAAGTCACCACGAGTTACTTATTGCAACTGAAAATAGTAAGAATTCTGGTAAAGCACTCATACCCATGAGGAGGGGCAGGAAATGTTTCTGCTCAGACAAAAACTAGAGAAGCCAGGGGCTCTTGACTCATTACACAACTTGGCCCCAACAGAATCTTTCTTTTTCCTTTAACTCAACAGTGGATGTGAGAATACAAAAGGGTGATCAGATTCCCTTTCAGTATAAGTTAGTAGAACATAACTAAAGAAATAAAAAATGTTTTACTATTGCCTAAGATTCTGCTGAATTTGCCTTATAATTTATTATTTATTTATTTTTGCTTTTTCAGGCATTTTTACTTGGGCAATTTAAAAAATCTAGTAATCTTAAGTCTGTTGTTGATCCATTCAACCCAAGAAAAGTTTAGTTGGTTTACTTACAGTCATTCCAAATAGGAAACAAGAGTCTAGTGGTGGTACAAGTTAGCAAACCAATTCCAGTATCTCTTTGCATGTCATGTTGAGACTTTAGGAAGGACTATGAACATTACCAACCATCTTCTTCAGAAAAATGACTGATAACCAAAGCCAGGAAAATGTGTCAGCCTGTTCGACACTTCCGGTGAGCAATGTCTTTGGAAGTTAGATTGTGACGGTGCTATTGGTCCTTCTACCCAAACACAGGATGCAAATGTTAACTGGACTTTGTTTGTTTGTTTGTTTGTTTGTTTTCAAGACTGGATTTCTCTGTGTAGCCCTGGCAGTCCTAGAATCCATTCTATAGATCAGGCTGGCCTCAAACTCATAGAGACCTACCTGCTCCTGCCTCCCAAGTGCTGGGATTAAAGGTGTGTTACGCTATGTCTGGCTGTTGGACTCTTACAAACAATGTGAACTCCTGTTTCATGTACTAAACTAACCAGCAGCTGCTGCTTACAGACTTTGCAGGAGAAATAATTTACACTTAAGTATTTTGCCTTATTTTTTAATGCATTAATCATTAACTTCTACATTCTTTTCAGGAGCTAAAAACTGGAAGTGGGGGGATGTTGGGGAAACTTTCCTGTGATTCAAGGAGACAGCTGCACACATCTGTCAATTACGCACTGGGATAGAAGGCAAGTTTAAAGAGTTTTCAAGCCATACTTACATGTGAGGGCTCAGTTCGTAAAAGTTTCTATTTCTGTAATCTTCCACTTTCTCAGGCGAATAAATGGGCAAGGATCGGTAGGGGTTCACAGATATAACCACACTCCCAATGTATGTCTGTAAAAAAAGAAGAAAGAAGTAATATCTATCAACTATATGGAACACAGCTGAACATCTCAAACTTCAGTGTGATACGGTTTCATCCCTTTGAAACCAACACTTGTCCTACTGCCTCACCACAATTTTACACACTTCAAGAGCATGGTGTCTCTCTGAAGACAGGCAGCAATAAGGAATGCTCATTTTGCTCATAAATGGAAAGCATAAATTTGTAATTGAAAGTATGTTTCAGGATAAACCTTGTCATAGCTTTATAACTCTGGACACGAGGTCTCCAGAGCCCTGTCGTACTTGCCAAGTTCCCATAACTGCTGCTCATCGTGAGCAAGAGACAAGCGCTCTCAGGAGCAAAGTAGGCTAGTGCCTCCACTCATGTTTTCCTTCAGCTCCAAAGTGAGCATGAGCATCAGCATCCCAACTCCCCATGCCACGCCCACACCTAGGGTAAGACTTCCATTGGCACCCCCTCTACACCCTGCCATGGAATACCAGTACAGACCACATGCAATTCAGTATTTTAGCCAGCCCTTGGAAATATACAAACAACAGAATTTCATATCACGATACACATCAGTAGTAGAATTTACATGTACTTTCTGACAGAACATACATTTAATGTTGGATTTATATTTAGCAGCAAATTTAAAAGTACTTCCTGAGGGGTCCATGCTGTATTTTAACAGACACTAACTAACTCCCAGCTGCAAACTAGAACTGTCTTCCTTTGTGCTTCAACCTTCCATGAGCTGGCAGCTCCAGTGAGTCTGGCATGGTTCCTCTTGTGCAATACCTAGCACACCAAAACAGGCAACAGCTGTTTAATGGTAAACTCATTTTGGCAGCTCTGGTTTTCCTTTGACTCAACATTAAAAAGACAGAAGAAAAAGAATGCCAACAAACTACATATGTGCTAAAAATCTTGAAAAGGGACCAGTGAGATGGCCCAGCCAGTAAGGGGGTCTGCCTTCAAGACCTGATTTCTATCCTTGGTACCCACATACATCATAGAAGAAAACTCTTACATGTTGTCCTCTCTCCTCCACACATCCCCCACTGCATGCATTTGCACACGCCTGCCCACGAGTGCACATGCACACGCACACGCGCGCACACACATAAATAAAATGTAAGTTTGGAAAACAAATTGAAAGGAAAAACACTGCTGAAGATGACAGTGGAGGAGCGGCCAGTCCATCATGCTCACTTTTCCAATGTTGTCATTAGCAGGTAACATTGCTAGGACAAGGTTTTCCGGAACTGCCTCCACTGAGACCCATGGAGATGAAAAGTAAACATAATAAAAGGCAAAGAAACAGGAGAAATGTTCTGCAATATTTTTATATGAGCCACAGTGACTCTAATTTAAAAAAATAATAAAATAAACCTTTCCTAACATGGGAAGCCAATTATTTTGTGTATGTTCAACATATATGAGCATACTCTAACTAAAAGTGGGAAACCTGCCATGGTAAAAAAAAAAAAAAAAAAAAAAAAAAACTGCACCTCCACACAGTGTGTGTTCCTAAATTCTGTTATCAGGACCCAACTTAATTGGCCTCACAAGAATGACTACAGGTTCCCCAACGTCCCAACCAGACCAGGCTTTCCCATAGCTTTTCATGCTCCTCACACTAGGGCTTTCCTGAACAGGTGAATGGCGGGTGTTTAAAGTGGAAAACTGTCGACTAACACATTATAGTTACACCACCAACATGAAAGTGTGGCCACTGGTCATGGCTTTAGTATTTACTGAGTAAATAATGGGGGGGGGGGAATACTTGTATCTTTCTCCTTTAGAAAAATAAAAATAAAAGTTGTATACAGACTCTGTCAGCAGAGAAGCCAACCACTGGGCTGGCTCTTCACGATGGCTAAGCCATGATAAACATCTGCCACTCTGGCATTCTTGCACAGAGAACAAATTCTGCTGCCTCGGTTTCAACATCAAAATCCTGGGTAATGACAAGTGAGTGTTTCCTTCTTTGTAACTTTCATGCTGTAACCCTGAATTAGCTGAGACTCTGCCCCCAGCTCTATCACTACCATGCAGAACAGAACCTGCCCACTCAGGTTGCTCAGTAACTGTCTTTTGCTAATGACTGGCTCACATCAGCTCCAATGAGCACTAAAGTGGGTGGTATTGTCTATTACTCTTCTGTTGACATGCAATACCAAATTCACTGCATTTGATGACTGTTTTATTGAACCTATAGGCCATGTGTTGCCAGTGGACAAAGCTGCAAATGATACCTTTCTCTTCAGCTTCCTCCCACTGTGGGGCTGTTTGCAAATATCAGAAAAACTTCCACCCGTAATCATACCGCTGTGAAACGAGCAGGGTGTTTCAAAGGGTAGTGTTTGTTTTCCAAGTCTCCAAATCTGGACTTTGCTTGATCAAAGAGACATTAGCAAATGTGACCCAGGCAGAGATCTGAAAACCATGTGTGGACTGGGATGTGTCCCGGTCTTTACAGCAATCCTGTGTTTTTGATGAGAATGAGCTATCAATGGAGAAGTAGGGGGAAGAGGGCATGTGTCCTGTCCTATAGCCTGTATTGTAGGATATGAATGAGCCATCCCCACTGAAACCACCAGGTACTTGACGTCACTGGAGTAATCCCAGGTGAGGCCAGCAGAAGATACCCAAAGCTTAAATCAGACTAAACTATCCAAGAGAGCTGTGTGCAAAGAAGATTGTCACTTTAGCCATTAATTTCTGAAAACAGTTTGGCACAAAATGCACCAATCACCGATACACCAACATCCCTGAAAACTGGAAAAGAGCAGGACAAGACACATTCATCGAAGCAAGCACTGAAGCTGCCATACTCCCCAAGTTACCAGACTTGGTAGGATCAGAGCTTGTGCCCCAACAAACCAATTAAACAAGCAAGCAACACTGAAAAGCAGGAAAAAGAGACTTTCAGGAAGAACAAAGGAGTGCAGTGATAAACCCACACTTGCTGGTGCACACCCATGCACACTCACGAGCACACACATCCATGTGCACACACACTCACTGTCCCTCGATGGGGTCTGGATACGTGGGTATTAATTAAACAGAAGATAGCCCAAGTGAAGGACAGCCCAGCCCACACCATTGTTTGGGCTTCATCTCCCCTGCAGAGCTGTCTGACAGGCTCTTAAGGCAGTGGAGTCTCTTTCCTGGAGACAAGTTCTTCCCTTTGAAATCAAACTTCAGTCTTCTCCCAGCAAGGACCTCCTGGGAAATTTCAATTTCTTGGGGACAATTGTTTTAATAGTCAAAGGGAAGCTCACACATGTGTGTCTTTAGAACAACCTCATCCCTGCCAGGCTGGTTATGTCCCTTTTACTTCATGCCTGCATCCTAAGCCTTGAACCCCTAAGAAGTTTGCCTTCTACCAAGATGGCTGTCCTTGCTGCGGATGGGGCTTCTTCCTTGAAAAGTCAATAATCAGAGACTTAAAAACCCCACGGTAGCAGTGGGGTTGATTAAATATTCAGTCGCCAACCCTCCTTTGGAAACTCAGAAAGTAGTCTGGAAGCACCTGATTGGCGGGGCTGTGACTTCAACTCTGGTTTTAGGCTGCCCATTGTGTGCTCACGGAAATGCAGAATAAAGCTTTCTTGGGGACCAGAGGAGTCACAGGACAGTTCATTTCTACAGCAATGAACATATGAATCTAAATGGTATCACTGTCATTTTCTTGCTGCATCTAATTGTCAAAAGAAGCTCATTACCAAGTCACTTCTTCCGTTTCCTTGCTTACCGCCTCCACCCTGCCAACCCTGGCACTATCAGCCATTGGTGTCAACCTCCCACCAATAAGGCCATGACAAGCTCCTCTCCTGTCTGTCACTGCCCTGAGTGGCCAATCTCCAACACCTAGGGCAGGTGAAAGAAAAGAGGGGAGGAAAGATCGGAACAAGAAAGCAAAACTGACAGGCAGGCTGGATCCTGTATAAAAGGCACATTCAATTAACAGATTCCCCTTTCACTTCTCCAGGGCAGACATTAAGACAAGAATGTGCAAACATTCCTAAGGCAAAACCATCTCCAGCTGCATGGTTTAAGCACTCCTGGCACTCCAAACAGATGCCTTGCAAATAGCAAACACAACCTGAGGGTTCCTCTTGTGCCTGCAAGCAAAATTGGCCTCTTTTCTGGAGGACAGCCTGTCTAGCAGCCTTCTCTCTCCAGACCCTGGGAGAAGAGTCCCTGTGGCCAGAGCTTGTGAAAAGCCACGCATGCTATTCCATGAGGAGTCCTGGAAAACTCACTCTCAGTGACCTGGAGGAGACACCTGCCATCCACAGCTTTTACAGAGATGCCAGGTGAACTCTGGTGCTGTAGGCATGAATGGATTTGGCTGAGGTCTAGGGGCTGGAGTCCTGACTCCACTCTTACACCGTGGTCCACAGATTCCAGGGGAAGTATACAGCATTTACAACAGCACAGTACATATGGTCTACAGAGTGCATATACGCCTGCTGTGGGCTTGGTGCTTGGGTATGTAATCGCATTTAGCACTCAGATCTTCCAGGGGGAATTAGTAATAGTCGCTCTGTGTATACACATGAGGAAACTGGGGCAGGAAGGAGCTAAAAATGTGCCTAGCTTTACACAAAACTGGAGATTTACCAGAAAACTTGGAGCCACAGTTTATAGAACATTCCAAATAGATTTAAAGCATAGCCAGCCGGGTATGGCACAGTCAGAGCTGAGAGCTCACATGCTGCAGGCGTGGCTTCAGATAGAAGCACCTTCGCCATCTCACCCCTGCCCCTTTGTCACAGCAACTTTGACTTCAGAACTGCTCTTGCACTGCCTGCCTCGAAACTCATGACTCCTCCCTTCCCTCCTCCCTCTTCTTTCCCATACCTCCTTTCCTCTCCCTTCCCCATCCCTCCTCCCTACTTCTTCCCTCTCCTTGCCTTCCTCCTCTCTCCTCCCATACCCTTTCTCCTGCCCTTCTGTGCTAAGGCCATGAGTCTCAGTTACTGGCAGGATAGCT